AATATGAGAAAAGAAACTGATATATAGAGAGAGAAGATGCTAAAGCTAGAGAGAGAGAGACTGTCCTATATAACTGAAAACCCAAACTACTTGCTAGTGTTGGCTATGGTAATTCACAAAAAATAAACCCAAAAAAAAAATCAAAAGAACCAAAAAAGGGATCAACTTTAGTGGGGTCATGATACACCACCATCATCATCATCATCTTCATCATCATGTTGGAGTGGAATTATATGATCAATTGGTGGAATTTGAAGGGTTTGTAACAGAGGCAGAGGAGAGATTAAGATCAGGGATAGATTTGGAAGAAGCATTGCCTTTTGAGCTCCCTTTTGACAATTTCTGCTTCAGTTCTGAAAGAAGTGCTTGATTCTCTTGGTTCAATATCTGAGCCTTCTTCCTCAGCCTCTCATTTTCCTTCATTATGTAACAGTTCTGTAAGTACAGATCTGAGTTTAGCCTCTCCATTTCCCCTTCCTCTGTTTTTGACGATCAATTTTGATTTTGATATCTATATATGTCAAAAGACCAATCACCCCTTCTTCTTCTCCTGAAAAGAAGAAAAAACACCCATTATGAGAAAATCATATAAAAAAAAACAGAGGAGATGAAGATGAAGAAGAAAAAAGGGAAATTAGGAGCAAACAAGAAGGAAATGAGGTGGGGAAACAGAAGGGTGAGATGGGTATTGGATTTGGATTTGGGAGAGAGATTTTATAGAAAATCAAATTGAGAAATCAAACAGTGATGGAGAAGGAGCTTTAGCCATAAGTAATAATGAGAGTTGAAACAGAGGAAAAAGGCAAAAACAGCTTTGAAACAGTGGTGGGTTTGTTTTTATATTGTGAAAATAAAAATGAAAATGAAAACTTGGGGAATTTTAAACAAAGGAATTGAGTGGAAAATGAGAAAATGGAAGAGAAAAGGCCAAAGGAGAGGAGACATGGGAGAAGAATAAGGATATGGTTGTCAAAATCTGCACTCATTGTGAGAGAAAGAGAGAGAGAAATGGGCTTCTTCTCTTCATATTCTTCTTTCGGTTGCCCATTCAGGAAAGAAAAGGATAAAATTAAAGTTAAGAAGCTTCATAATTTTCTAAACCCTTTTTTTTTCTCTCCTCAATCTCCAATGAACAAAAACAGAAAACACCCACAAAAAGAAAAACACTAAAATTTTGAGAAATCCGAGGAGAGAGAGACACACACACACAACACAATCACAAAATCAGAACCATAGATGA